AGCATCTTGCCCCGTGACCTGGTGGCCGATACAACTACACCCATACATTGTGTTTTCACGGTGGGACCTGACAGCGCCCATCAAGTGGGGCCCGCGTGGCGGCCACAGCCGCTCAGCCAGCCCTGACCAGACCCAGAACAAACAGCCGGAGCTCAACACACGCTCCGACGTCACCGTTGTCCCCTCCTTACAGCCTGGCTAGGGGACAACCRCAGAGCACTTGCAGAGATGGGTCTAGAGGACTTTCTCCCCTTGTTTTCGTGCTGCACCTTGGCTGCTAACCACAGCTGCTGCTCTACACCTCCAGACCATGAGTAACAGCGAGCCGAAAGGACACAACTCCCACCATCAGGATGATACAGCAGGGATCCATCCCACTCCTCCGCGCTCATCCAGACACATCCATAGCTTTATTGCTGCAGCACTGCCAGCCTTCCCCTTAACTCCATCCCGTAACCAGCTGCAYGAGGTGGCCAAGCCTTGAGCTACTCTGTTCCCTGCTCCACTTGGAGAGCACACAGCCCCATGCCGTGGATTTCTACCAATTACTCATTAACCACGGGTRTGGTAGGAGCTCTGCAAACCACAGAACTTGCTATTATTCATAGGTATGCACCGTTGCTACTGCTCTGTGGGCAGTGCTTTGTCCTTGAGTTAATTTCGTCCTCAGAATTATCGGGTTTTTAGAAGAAAGATGGAAAAAAATCACTCAGTCTGAAGATGAACTGCCTTGAACTGSCTTCCTGCATTTGATTAGGCTTTAAACACGGCTTTGAGAGCTTCTGGCTTTGCACATCTCATTCAGATGTGAAGAAAGAAAGATAGAAGAAAAAGGAAGTTTAATTTATTTGCTGCTGGGTGTTATTTGTATCTCGCCCTTCCRAAGTTCAGAGAAGGGAGTATATGAAATAAAACGCAGCCCTCTTTCCGTGCTCCTTCCCCATGACCCAAATAATGGATTACAACCCAAATTTAACCTTCTTGACACAGTGCAGTGCGGCACCTCTTTTACATCTGCTCTTGAACAAGAAATCTGGCACACAGAAATGCCGCAGAAATACAGCTGATCATCAAAACTTAAAAAATAAAACTAAAATGCATTTATTGAAAAATCATGGGTATTTGTAGAAGTTCTAGAGAATAAAAGCAGAATACCTTTAGCCTGTCTAGGTGGGTTCGTCCCTCARTGTGAGCTGAAGGGAAGGCAATGGGAGGTACTGGTGCAGCCTGGAGCATGGCACCAGCCTAGATCGGCCTAGGTCAGTTCTAGAAGGTTGATCATCTGAAACACAACCACGGYGTGTGAACAGCCACGTGGCTGGTAGTTGTACACAAAGTTCAAGTGAGTACAAGTCATTTGCACAAAAGCCACGTTCGTGGGGTATTACGATATTAATGAACTGCCTAGACCAGATCAGGGTGAAAAAGCAAGATTAATCTCTTCTCTAGGCCCAAACCCATCATATCGCTCTTCCATATTTTCCTTGGGAAATAAAAAAAACTAGGGAAATAGCATTTCTCACAGCTTTGTGTGAGCTGGCCTCAACTCCCCCCCTCCCAGCTTCCCATCTGCAAGGCAGACTGTTCAGCACCGAAGCAGCAAAAAGCCGGAACGTCCGCGTGAGTCACCTGCAGTCACACTGCGGGGACACTAACACAAGGGCAGGAGCCCGGAGAACATCCGTGCTGCAAAGGGAGATGTTCATGGGGAGGTCCCCAAGGGATCCCCTGCCCCGGCAATCAGTGCAGCGCAAAGGATAGCGCTGGGATCCAGGAATGGGTTGGGTTGTGTCTCTGGGTCTTTCGCTCTCTGGTCCTGCAAGCCTCTTTCTGTACAGCTGCACCTGGTTGGAGCTGMGCAGGCACCAAAAGTGTGTGATACTGTGTGCGTGGTGTCCCGGATGAGGACTGGTGGGACAGCACGAAGGGAGAGCCACCATCCTCGTGCTGGCACAGAGCACTGTGTGTGTCCTGACAAGTGTGGCCCCTCCAGACCTCCCTGTTTTGGGACCTGTCAAGGTTTGCAGTGCTGCAGGCTGAATTTGGGGTCATGTGAGTTTTCCTTGAGCCGTCCAACTAATTTATGAGTTCTGCACTTTGTGGCTGAGAGCTCTGATCAGCAAGGGAGCAAAAACCAGCAAGCGTAAGAGCTGCCAGCGCGCTCCCCGGGAAGGGCTGAGTGCGGGAAGCTCATGCAGAAAACACAGGCTCCGGCAGCGCGGACGGAGCATCCCAGTGGGGCAGGAGGAAGGAAGAACATGTCCTCTCCATGTGACGTGTCCAGGAGAGGAGCTGCAGCGCGGAGGGAGGGATGAAGCGCTCACCACAGGTGTATCTGAGGTTCTCAGGTCTGACCGAAACGCTGACTGAAATAAGGACGGTCGCTGCCACTGGCTGAGCCTGTTTTTCCTGGGCAATGCAGCGGCACTCGGTTATGGGACCTGATGGCTCSAGCGAAGCTCAAATAGAGCTGTCTGAAGCTTTGCTTCTGATCCCTTGTCCAGGCTTCGAGGCAGAGGGAAGTGGATTCTCCACATCCCTAGGAAGCGTCGCTGCCTTGGTGTGGAAAATACCATCGGCCCTTTGGCGTGGCTAYGCTTTTTTTTTACCGTGGTTCAGCGCTGATTGCAGCAAATCCCAGATCTTGAATCAGGGAAAGTTTTAATCTTGCACCAGCCCTGTTTACGTAACAGCTGCCATCCCACAGGGATGAATCTAGGACTTCCAGCACTAAAAGCATGGGCTGCTGCCACTGGAGCCGAAGCTGCAGCTCTGCTTGTTGGTGGCACCAGGACATTTACATCCTCTGGCGCAAAGGCTGCAGGAGGCAGCTCAGGGGAGCAGGGCTCACTTGGGCTTCTCCTCCAGCAGCCCTGCGACCGAATAGGGGTGTGAAGACGCTGCCCATGGCCGTGTGCAGCAGCCCATCCCCAGGGCCACCCGYGCATCGCCTGGCAGCAGCCCATGCTCGCGGCCTCCCTTGCCACGGGCTCGGCTCCCGCGCCACTGGAACGGAGGACAGCGCAAGCGGAGGCAGGGGCGCCGCTCGRACAACACTCGCCGCTTATCTTCTGAACACATTCTCCAGGCCAGCGGGAGTTCAGATCCGTCCCTCCCTTTGGGCACGTGAGGCAGAGCTTGGGGACATGGACATGTCACCGGATCACAGGGACCCGCTTCTGCGGAGCAGCCCTGGCTGCTCCCGTGGCCCGGGGGCCGCAGACCCCTGGGGTGTTTTGCTCACGGTGAGTTCAGGTCAGCGCCCTCAAACGCAATAGAAGTGATTCATTTGAAAGCTTTAACYCTGTTTAAATCTCCACATCAGCCACACTTTGTCCTGTTTGATTTTGCTGTTTAACTTTTGATTGGTCCTGTTTGATGGCGCTATTCAACTCTTTTGCTCGGTCACTGGATGTTTATTTACCCCTGCACTCCAGTGTGTCTCATGCAGACATCTGTTTAATGACTGTCCCAAAATGCCTCCTGGCTTCTGTCTCAAACATCAACCCTCTGCTAGGATGCAGAATGCGGAAAGGATAAAATGCACCTTGCAGCTTTTCTCCCAAATAAAATTTCAGCCGAAACAGCCTGAAATTGCTGAGTTTGTAGTTTGGGGGAATAGAAAAACACAAAAAGCCGCGTGCACTTGGCTGCCCATCACTGGGTCAGGCTCTGCTTCTCTGACTGCTGTTTTGCAGTTGTGTTGTCCCCAAATATTACAGCATCACCAGTGTCACCAGCTCCTGCTGTGCCAGAAGTGGGGCGGCAGGATGCGTAGCTGCGTGGGTCAGAGGATCCTGACGCGAGGATCCTGACGGGATCCTCGGGTGTCGTAGGGGTGTCCTTGGGTCACTGCCGCGCAGTGATGCCAGGCTTCACTTGCACTGCCACCCTCGGCACTTGTCCCGGGCCCAGCTTTATCCCCATCTCCCATATTGACCTGCGTCCGTTCCCGCYTTCCCATGGGATCAGCCCCCGCGGCGGGTGCCGACAGGGAGCGGCAGCTGCACGAACCGGCACTTGTTACATAAACCGCTAAGACGGCAGCAGCCGAGGCGGGCTGGTGGCAGCAGGATGTCAAATGAGGACAAGGAAGGGAATTGCAGCAGGCGAGCAGCCGCAGCGCAGGGGCTCATAGGGATATTTATGACCCTGTGTGACGGGAAGCGCGGCCGCGATGCATTTCCCGCTCCTCTGAGCTTCCCCGGGGCCTGGGCTGCCTCATGCTGCCTCCTCTCGGCTTGGGGTGGCCCCTCGGCCGCTCTTGYCTCACTGTCACTGTGGGAGACATGTGGCCACATCGGGACTGGTGCCACACGGAGGGGACACGGGACCATCACTCTCCCTCTCCGCCATCCTTCTGCAGGCAGGCCCAGCGCTGCAGGAGGGGTGCAGCAAGGGACAGCCCGGGTCCCGTGCTGTGCCCGCCACCCGGCACAGCACCGCGTTGCACCGCTGTGCGTTGCGCGGCGTTGCGCTGCATTGCAGCGCCTTGCATTGCCTTGCATTGCATTGCCTTGCACTGCATTGCCTTGCACTGCATTGCCTTGCACTGCACTGTATTGCACTGCCTTGCACTGCATTGCACAGCCCTGCATTGCACTGCACTGCATTGCACTGCCTTGCACTGCATTGCACGGCCCTGCCTTGCACGGTCCTGCCTTGCACGGCCCTGCCCCGCGCTCCCCGGCCGCGCGCCCCGCCGCATTGCCCCCCGCGCCCCGCCCCGCCCCGCCCCGCCCGCCGCTCGCGCCGGCCCGCGGCGAACGTTCCAGACCCCCCACGCTGCGGCAGGCGCGGCGAGAAGGGGCGGTGCCTGCGGAGGGGGCAAGCGGCCCCTTGCGGGGGCTTCTGGGACATGTCGTTCTGGCGCCGCCCCCTTGTGGGGGGCGGGAGCCGCGCCGGACTACACTTCCCGTGAGGCGCCGCGCGGGGGCTGCGGCCGGGCCCGCGCCGCGCAGGCGCCGTGGCGGCGCCGGGACCGCTATAAGCCATGTTGTTCGGCTGCGCGGCCGCTGAGTGCGAGAGCCGCAGCGGGGCAGCCGGCGGGCGGAGGTGAGCGCGGGGCCTTTGTGCGTGCGGGGGGCCGTGGCGCCGCCGGGGGGCGGCCTTCGTCCCCCACACCCCGGGGGCCGCGCGCCGAGGCCCCCCCCGCCTCGCTCCCCGGGGGGCTCGGGGGGTCGCCCCGTGCTTGCGGCGGGGCCCGGCGCGCTCCGGCCGCAGGCGGCGTGCGGGGCCGGCCGGGCACAGCGGCCCCGAGCCGCAGCGTCCGCGGGCCGGGGGCTCGTGCCGGGCCCCTCCCCGGCGCCCTGGCCGCTGTGCGGCGGCGGAAGGCGGCAGCGGGGTCTGGCCAAGGGCCTAGGCGGGGGCTTCTGCCGTGGGGCGGGTTTAAGGCAGGTGGCAGAAAGCAGCGCTATAAAACACGACGCTGCCAGGTGAGGTAATGCTTCTTTTGGGACTCTTTTCCTTTTTTTTCCCTCCCCTCCCAACCTTTTGGAGGATTTGATAGGTTGCGGAGAATCTGCAGTACCTAGGATGTGATGGCTCCTTCCCATGCCTGTACCTGCATGAGGCGAGCTCAAACTTGGGGAGTGAATGAGTCAACTTACAGAGGCTTTTTTCCCTCTGCAGAATACATATAGAATGACTAATTTGACCAGGCTGTGGTATCTCCAGAGATCTCTATTCTGCAAAACTTTCCACTGGAATACTGTTGGATATGCACAGTCAGTTGGATATACACATTGATAATACAGTTGGATATACAGATTCCCAAGGATTTGATCTTCCAAATTGGAAGTTTCTTAAAGTTTTAACTCGTTCTAGGTGTTAATTCTATCTGCCATGTTGCATAATCATATTTTAAGAGTTCCAGGGAGTGGGGGAGTGAGACGCTACGTTCTGGTGCATTGAAAATCATTGTACTCCCTTGTCGCCTCAGGGTGCATTTAAACTAGTTCAGGGGAAGCTGGAGTTTTCTGTAAGATTCCAGAGTGGTATTTTATAKTATTGGTGTGCCAGTTTCTTTACAACTGCTTTCTTGCTTGAAAAAAGCTTTTAAAATAGCTGACTAAAATAACTGGTGTTGGATATAGGATTCAATGAATTGTTTTTTTTTCAGATCTTCAAAGTGAAAATACACGTGCAAACCCTGGCGTTTACAGAAGATGAAAGACATCGACATAGGAAAAGAGTACATTATACCCAGTCCTGGGTATAGAAATGTGAGGGAGAGAGCCAGCTCGGTGCAGCATGAAGAGCAGGAAGGGTCAAAATTTCAGCATGCTAAACACAAGGTCAGTTCACTTTTTCATTGTTTTTACTGTCTCTCTTTATTAAGCTACATGCAGCAGTGCRTTTTTGCTGTGCCAGCTCAGGAAAGATTTGTTACCTTGAAGGTCAATGATGAATATTCTCTCTTGCCCTTAAGAGGTCATTCCAAGGGGTGCTGTAGTTCTAGTAGCTAAACTGGGCATTTACTAAGCATTTTATACTTCTAAATGTAAGGGCTTTTTAGTAAAAACAAGCTGTTCCTAGTGTCCAGATCTTGATTAGAATACAAGAAAATGTAAGGTCTTGTATTTAAAAGAATGATGACAACCAAGTAAAACCACTGCGAAGCTCAAATCTAATCATGCGCCATTCAATGTTGGCAAATGAAAAGATGTTCTGTTTTGTACAGGGTTGTATTTTTTGAGGCAGATGTCTAGTTTATTGCTCAAGATTATTTTCCTCCTAGAGGAAAAAGAATGTGGTGAATACTTTCTTGTGCATCTGTATGCYTAGTATGCTGTGGTGCTCTCACAGTCACTTGTAGTTTAATCTTGAGAGCTGGTTTTGCARTAAGCACTGTCTGGGAGCTGGTATGGCATTGCTCTGGCAATTGTTACTTTTAAAGCTCTTTCTCCCCAAACAGAATGCAAATATTAGCGAGCTGAGTACTGCAAGTACTAGCACTTAAATGCTGTAAGGTGAATATAGATGCTGAAATAAGTAAATGGAGACCCTACACTGAGGAAACATATGGTCTGGAGCTAGTAACCTTGGCTCTGCACCAGTTCAAGGTGGTTAAGAATAGTAGCTGCTTTGACTATTTACGCTTTGAAATATTTTCCTTCCTGTTCTGATTTTAAAGTAAGTTTCCTTACTAAGTTAGAGTAGAATATCTTGAAGACAAACTAAAAGGTAATCCTCCTTATGTCTGAATTTCTGTGAGATGACAGGGAGCCTGTGAAAATGCTGGTATAGATCATTTGTGACAGCTCTTCTAAATGGGGGTTGGAAGTGGGGAAAACTCTCCTTATTTACATGGAATTGTGAATGTTTTTAGACATCGGTATTGCTGCCTTTTACTGGAAACTGAAATACAAAGTACTCTAATTAAAGCCCCCAGTGAAACAAGATAAGCCTGAAGGTGGTTGGTGTTTGCCAGGTGCCTTTAATGTGGGCTAGCAGTGCTGCTTTGCTCTCAGGAGGCTGCTGGAGTGGTTTGGGTCTGCAGCAGCCTGAATGCAGGCTGTACCTGCAGGCCCTGCAGCTCCTAGCATCCCTCCAGGGCTCTATGACTCAGCAGTCTATTGCTGATGGTGTTTGGGGGAGGCAGAGCATCTGACTGCATTAAAGCAGACGCTGGTGCTGGATTGGGAACCCTCTGGAGTCGTGGCACAGCTTCTTCCCAGCATTTATGTTAATGTAATTGGCTCACGGTGCAGCCCACATCATCCTGTGGGAGAAGGTCTGTCAAATTGCTGGTGACAACAGCGATGCCATTGGTGAGCTGCTGTGTTTTTTCAAGCAGCAGGAGTGGAGTCGCACAGTAATTGTAGCATGATGCTGCTCTGCATCACTGTATTGATGCCTGGCATCGTTTCTGAGGACAAAATTGTGGAACTTGACTGTAGTCCTCATAGTGTCTTTTTACCTGAGTCTTTTACAAGAATGAAATGAAACCAGCTTTTTTTCCTCCAAAGGCTGGAATAAAGCTAAACCCTGCAATGTCTAGCATGGCATGAAGACTCAAATTTGAGTAACATCAGGTCAAATTCACCGTGGGTTGCAGTGGTCCTACTTTCCCTTCTACATTTGTTCATAGACTTAATGCCTGTGTTTGCTGGGTAGTAGGTCCAGGTAATTGAGGTCCCTGAGAAACAGGGATTCTGCAGTATTTGAATTACTGGTGCAAGGACATGTTTTTTTCCACCTTTACCTGGAACTGTAAGTGCCTTGATCATTTTGATTAGAGGAACATATTAATGGAATCAACTGATTCTGACATCAGTTCTGGGCACTTATTAGTAATCTAGTTCAATATGTTAATGCTGAGTTAACTTTAGCATGAAAAACATCTGTATTTTTCCACTAACTTTATAGCTGAGATGTATGCAAACTATAAACAGTACTGAGCTYGCTGTATGTTAGATTAAATCCTGCTAACTTGCAGAATACTTGCAGAATATGGAGGTTAAATAAGGTGTTATAAAGACAGCTCCTTTTATCTAGATTGCATGCTTGCCCTTGTTTTGTATACCAAGCATCTTTTTAGTTGAAATAAGCTGCAGCRGCATTATTGGCCTCATGTCTTAGTGTGTTTTGTTCTTCTGGTAACAAAGGTAAGTAAAGGCTTGTTTCATAAGGCTTAACCTTTGCCTGTTCCTTTCTCCCTGTCTTGTAACAAGGGTGGAAGCTTCAGCTTATCTGTTAAGAAAACCAACCCTTTAAAGGAGGAAGTGGCTATGTCTTTTACTACTAAAACTTTCATTGAACTGGAGGTCAAGTCAAGTTCCTGAGTTAGTTTCTTGGGCATATGTTAGTTCTGATAACAGCTGGTGATAACACCAGGGAGGGCTGATAGGAAAGAGGGGGTCACAACTGCTCAAATACAAAGAAGCCAGGTTATGGTGGTGCTGTTCTTTAAGCAACTGAAGCTGGTGTGCCACCAAAAGAGCTTTTAGGACTCCCAAGCTTAAGGGAGGGGTGTTGAGAAATATGGCTTTGGTTTTGAACTAGCTTGACCACAATGGTGTTTGTAAGCACATTCTCTATTGCTTATGACAAAATACTGCTGCGAGTAGGTAAGGCTCTTTCATGCCCACTTTCAGGTCTTGGTTATATGAGACTGTTGCAATAAACCCACGTGTGRTGGCCTTGCCAGTGTTGCTTTTGTCTCCTGTGGAAGGAGGTAGATCTGCAGAGTTCCCAGTGAAGAGCATAGAGGAGTCTGCAGCCTCTGTTAATCAGGGAACACTGGTTAATGGCCAGCATGGGTGGTGACTTCTAGTAGGGCAACAAGTGCTTTTGACCAGTCAGTAACATGACTTACAGGCCATAGCAGGGAACTTTATTACAGTATTTTTATGCATGTTTCCTGAATGGAAATGGAAGACACTGGTTGATGTTCTAAGCTGGATTTTTATGGATGAAAGACTTGTACTGCTGATCCAAGGCCCCAGGGCTACTTCTATGTATTCCTTTATCTCACAAAGGTTTAGTTTAACTTCAGTCTCTGTTCTGAAACCTCTTTACTGTTGTGCAGGGTTCTTGTCCAAAAAAGCTTGACTTTGTGACCCTTATTGAAGAAGGAACTTGTTATTTTTATCTTTGGAGCTCAGCTGCTTTGAGCCTTTGTGGCCTCAGTTGTGGCCCTAGAGTGCTACTTTGAAAAACAGGATTCATGAAGACACAGTTCAAATCATGGTGCAGTATAAGTAGGTCTAATCCAGCATTTCCTGGTATCTAATATGAATGTTGCTATGGAAATTTGAATCTCTGAAATAGTGGGATACTTTGGGACTGAAATTTCAAGAAACTGTTTTTCTCCTTGTGAATAAATATTCACGCATGTTTCTGGTGTGTTCTTATTGTTTTTTTTAGGTCTTTGAAGAGATCCTGATGTAGTTAAAATATTAGGTACCCCTGCCCAGTGCACAATAGTGCGTAATTGGACTTAGTGTTTGTAGAAGCGCTTATCTTCTAAATGGAGATAACTTCTAGGTGTACTTGCTGCTTATCACTATATGCAGTAAGCTTTATTAAAAGCTGTTCTTTCTGGTGAAGAAACTAAAGGATATTTTCAAATACTAGTATCTACTTATGCCTTTAGGATTCTTGGTTCTTGGCATGCTTTTAAAGTTATAACTGAAATAATTGCATTTATTTCTTCCTCTAATGGAGGTGGTGTGCCCTGAGGAAACGAGCAGACCCCATTGTGTCCATGAAATCTCCTATAAAATGACAGATGAAGAAAGGAAATAATTTGTTCTGAAAGTGGCTTTGGGGATAGGTGCTTTTTAAATACAGGCCTCTGCAAATGTTCACTTGTTGGAACAGCAGGCAAATGGGTGTTTTGCTCCTCCCCATAAAATTAAAAGCAAGATGAAGAAGCTTATTCTCATTTTAAGCAATGCTCTTGAACTTCATTCTTAATTATAAACTCTGAATTAAGTGTGAGGGTACAAATTCACAAATAATATGCTCCAAACAGTTAGTTCTGAATAGATGTGGTATTTAGCAGTGAGCTATTGCTGCTGGAATGAAGTGACTGCACTTCAGTGCAGGCTTGCAATTGCTGCCATCCTACCTGCATGTCTACRGCTAAACTTTGCAGCTTGAGGATCTATTTTCTGTTAACAACAGACCATGCATACAGAGGAGGTGCATCAAACCTTTTCCACAAATTCCCTACTACCTTCCGGTATCCCTGGCTATATCAATTCTGTTGATATTGTCTAAGAGGTGCTGCATGTCCTTGTTCCCTTCATGGATAAAGYTTTAACTGAACAGTGAGTAGCTGGTATATATTCAATAAGAACAAAGCATGCTGCAGCCTGTACAGTTTCTTTAACTGCACTGAAGTCTTCACCTTCTTAGGTGTCTCTACCTGTAGTATGGTAGATGGCAGGTGTATTGTGCTAAACTTCCAGGGAACAGGGGGACTGGCCATTCTGGATGCCTCTCTTCAGAGGARTGGCTTTCCTGCAGGGTACACCACCTCAGATCACTTCAAATGGGTGATCATCTGCACAGGGAAATGCCAGTAGGCTGGGCCCTTGGACAAAGGGAAATGGCTGGGGGCACAGACCGCTCCTGGATACTTGTGGGAAGAAATGTCAAAAAATATATTGTGCTGAGAAGGGGATATGGCAGAGGAGAATTAAAGAAAAAAGTAAACGAGGCAAGACTTTATAGGTAAAGGAAGGTTAGAATGGGAGTATTTCACATTCCCATCTTGAAGCAGACAAGGACAAATGGGTAAAGCAATCAGCAGGATAGCATGCTTCAAATCCAGTTTCAATGACCA